CAGGAAAACCATATAGTAATGCTTTCTACATAGCACTGCCAGAGCTTCAGATAACATCGTGGGTCTACACTCACATGCTCCATTTCAAGAACTAGATCAACTGAGAAGTAATCCAGAGGGCATCAACAGAGCAGAAGTCTAGAAACCATATGGAAAGACTGAACAAACTGAAGTTACTTAATCTAGAGGGCAATGAGAACATTATTCAACTAACTTCCAGAAAAAGACAGGAGAACTTACTCTCACCTCCCTAGATTAAAAAGACAAGCAGATTTATACTGAAGATGCACGTTAAAGATTAAACATACATTGAACACTGGAGAGAAAATACTTTGCAATGTTAAATCTAGTAAAGCTTTATCAAAGATCACCTATAAAGAGTAGAAAGGCTTCATGTTGAGGTTTGAGAAGCAAACGATTTTCCAATTGTCATTTCTGCCTCGGAACTGACAAATACACTAGATGGCCCAAGTCCCTTCCAAGTTACATAACTTTTTTATTTATTCTGTCCTCTTTTTAAATACAGATAATGTATTTCTGTAAATATTTCTTCGATTCCATTTTCTAAAGGACATGACCACAGGACTGTGACCTATAGTCTGAAGGATCACAGTGACTTCATGCTACAGAGAACAGGTTGGGTTATAAGCACGCAGGACATGGCAACTGTGTTCATTGGCTACCTGCAGGTTACAGTACAAAATAGTGGGACAGTTCCTAATAATACTTACTTGTCTGCTGCATGACATATTGTGCCACATGTATCAGCCATATCGTCAACAAGAATTGCAACTCTGTCTTTCACATCACCAACCAAGACCATTCTGTCCACTTCGTTTGCCTTCTTTCTTTCCTTATGAATGAGAGCAAATTCCACATTCAGTCTGTCAGCGATTGAAGTAACCCTAAGTTACAGGAAGAAATACATCACATTTAGAGAATTATTTTAGAAGAAAGAGCAGAGGAATGCATGCCATAGAACATAGTTTTTATGTTCCCTGCCTTTCAAGTTACTGCAGCACAAACTTTTGCAAGTAATAAGACAGGTTAAAGGCAAGCTTAAGTCACTGCTAAATAAATACAACCAGGGAGTCTTCAGCTATACTCCAGAAATTGATTTTTTTATTTAATTAACTTTGGTTTGCTGTCACTGAGTACCCAGCTTTGAAAACATTTCAGCTATTCACAAGCTACAATTAACTAGTCACACTAGATAACGTAAAGTGGAGGTAACCTTAATTCTAAGCCTAGAGCAGCCTGCACTTTAACATCCTAACTGAAAATACCATTGCAGCAATGAGAAACCAAACCAAAGGGAAAAAAACACACAAGTTAACAGTGATTAATAATTCTTTCAGCAGTACTTGACTAGTAATCAAGCAGCTTAATTTGTTACCAATTCCCTTAGCAACACATCTTGCTTAAAACTATTCAGGGTGACCTCTGGTGGCCAGAGAAACCTCCAAGAACAAACTGAATTTCTTACAGACTTCCGATTGCTTTTTTCAGGTGTTTTTAATATCCCAGAGTTGCTAGGTATAAAGGCACAGAAAAAAACAATACTATGCTTCTTTCTATACTGGTGCAACTTTGTAGCCTGTCTTTTCTGAATATCATTAACAAGGTTATTAACATACACAATTAATAGAGAACACAGTTTTGCTTCTTTACTGCTTCAATATGAAGGAGTCTTCAGTCACTGCTGCTACTATTTTTAAATGTCTTTAACACCTACAGATTTAAAATTTTAAATACAAACTTCCTTTACATTCTATTAACTTTTCATTAACCAAAGTATTATTTTTAATATCTACATGTTTTAAACAGAACAGCAAAATATTTTTTTTTACACTAGTGGATATGAAGAAGCTGTGAATTTATTGAAAGCACCATCTTCTCCTACTTCACCAGCAACTGCTTGGTTGCATTACAACAGAAAGGTACAAAAGCCAGACTACTTATCAGTGTTAAATACAGTTAAATACAGTGAGAGTCCTCAAAAAATAAACTCTCACGATCAACTTGAGATTATAAAAATATTTGCTACAGGAAAAAAATACTTTCTGACTTGAATTCAAAGCAAAAAGCTGTATTTTGTGTAAAAAACAACTGTGAAAACAACAGTATTCAGATAGGAATGAGCAAAGATGTAACTGACTAAGTCATCTGAACTTTAGAATGGTTTCTATAGTTTATATTCTTCACATCTTCGACTTGGTTAATCTAAGCGCGAACAATGATGGACTTCTAATCAGTCTTATTTCCTTGTTATTGAAAGAGCATGAACATTCAGAACAGACCCAAGGATTTAAATTAAAATTATACTATGCCAGTCTTTCACATTTTTCCCCATACTACATTCCAAACATTGAAATAACTACAGGCTTTCAGGATTCTTGCTTCATTTGTCTGTGTTCCTATTCTGTTTTGTAGCAGCAGTATGACTAATAAAGCTTGAGAATAAGCATTTTGCCTCAATGGCAATGCTTTATCATCTCAGCAGCTGGCATGCTTGTGAGCTTTTGTATTACTTTATACCCAATAGATAGCAAAGAAAAAAGTCTGCTGAATGAGTAATGCAAGCTGCAAATGAAGAAACACTCCAGCAAACTACCTTCTCTATTTTCACCTTTGGATACCCAAAACAAAACTTCTCTCCCCTTCTCTAGTATTCACAGTGCACAACTTGGAGTGAGAAGTTTTGCAGCTGGAATGCAATATCTATAAGAAAAAAGAAATATGACTCAAGCAAGCTCTTACCTAAATGTCACCAGGCACAGTGGGGATAGGCCATTTGCTTTGATAGGGAAGGAAAACAGGCAATTCCAGAGCGAAGCAGGAAGAGGTGCAGCAACTGGACTAAAGAAGCAAACAGCAGGAAAAGTCTCTTCCCTGCTGCAGAGGGATTCAGCTAAAGAGGCCATATGCAGGGAAAGA